AATTTTTATAAAAATAAAACTTAAAATCGCGTCTGGCACATAGTTAGCAACGTGAAAAATGTCTGGCAATAAAAAAAGTATGTCAGGTAGACGTATTTAAAAAGGAAAAATCAAAAATTACGCTTCTTAAAATGCAATGCTTCATCATACTGCAATACTTTATCATTTTAATTCAAGACTTAACAATCGAATTAATGTCTGGCAAATTCATTTTCAGTTTTTCTTATATTTAAATAACATAATATTAAAATTACAGACATTCTAAAATGCTTTGAAATTTTTATAAAAATAAAACTTAAAATCGCGTCTGGCACATAGTTAGCAACGTGAAAAATGTCTGGCAATAAAAAAGTATGTCAGGTAGACGTATTTAAAAAGGAAAAATCAAAAATTACGCTTCTTAAAATGCTTTTAAAATCCAGGATTATTACCTGGACAGATAGGATGCGCACTAATGAACGCAACCGCTACCGCCAGCCAGATTGCCCAGACTCTAACCGGAAGTGCAAGAAGGAAGACATATCACAAAATCAGCTGACCTGAAATTCTTTCTCGAAAACGTTGCTACCTCCCGTACTATTATGAGGTATTGTTCGGAAATCGGTTTGAAATTTATTCGTCATTGTTCATGGGCAGATTTTACCGGACCGGAATCGAAAACGAAATATTATTCCGTTTATTTTCCCCGGAAATAAAACTGAATATCTTTTAAAACGTAATTCAATATTTGATATTCAAAAAAACAACATTTACCGAGTTTTGTCCCTGGACAGTTAAGATAACATAATTTGATCCGGTGAGGAGGACTATCTTGTCACCTTAGTTGGGTTTAGGAGGTATATATAGGCCGTAGGGCGCAATGTAGATTATATATTAATAATTATATATTAATACTAATAATTATTGAAAATAAATATGTTTTCAATAATAATTACGTCCTTATGTTGGATTGCGTTGCTGGATTAAAGTTTGTGTATATCACATCCTTATGAATATATATATATTAGTTTAATTTCAGTATTTTCAAGTGTTTCTTAAAAATATTGCAGCTCAAATGCGTTATAAAAGCGCAAGCCGTTTCTAGGATCTATCTGGCTCGGAGAAAATTCGCTCTGCGCCTAAGGGACGGTGTATTTTCGTAACATTTAATTTAGCTTTATTATTTCATTATGTCGAATCTTTGGACACTGTTACATGTGGCAATATTCTTATAAAGAAACTTATTTCCCACGGGAGATGTATTGAAAACAAGTTGTAGGCTGTACGTGCGCTGCCTTCGCGAGATTTCAACGATACTTTTCCAATGGGAATTATATTTGAGCGTTCGAACGGAAAACTGCAAAAACGAGCTCAAAAATAACAATTCGAACTCACACGCTTAGATGAAAACACTTCAACGCAAAACCATTACTAATAGTTAGGTATTTAATTTAAAAATCAATTAGTGTTGAAAATGGATAAGAATTTTACTCATTTATTTTCACTGTATGAGAGATAAACAAAGGACATAAGAAAACATTATGGAAAATAATGAGAATGTGAAAAGGGACAAAATGAAGTGAGCTTTCCCATGACAATCAGGTCTAATTAATAATTCAAATTCTATTTAGTTATTATTATTATTAAACTAAGCGAAGCTGGAAATAATAATAAGCTAATAAGCAGGGTAATAAAATAAATAAATCAGTGGCGCTACAACCTCCTTAGGTCTTGGCCTCAGATTTCTGAATCTGTTTCATGATAGTTTATTTTTAAATCTAATAGGCAAGTAGGTGATCAGTCTCCAGTGCGTGACACGCCGTCGACATTTTGGGTCTAAGACATGTCGGTTTCCTCACGATGTTTTCCTTCACCATTCGAGCATTAATGTTAAATACGCACATAGAAAGAAAGTCCATTGGTGCACAGCCGGGGATCGAACCTACGACCTCAGGTATGAGAGTCGCACGCTGAAGTCACTAGGCCAACACTGCTCTATAAGCAGGGTTCCTAGCTGGCGACATTGTTTTCATAAGTTGGTGCGATAATATTTCTTATACGCAGGCACGGAAAATTCATAATTATTAGCCGATAATTGGGCCTGATCCTCAACCTCATTGGTTATAGAAATAACACACCTCAACATGCTCTTTTGTATCGACGACTAGTAACAATTACGACTCGATTTCGATATAGAACCCGGTCGTAAGTGTGGTTACTACGGCAGCGAGTGTGAGTCGTAAACCGAATATGGAGAGCCAATTCTGAAGTACCATAAACTATCGAAAAACTATTTTATTCAATTGAATCCAGCACCATTCAGAAAGTTTTGAAGTGAAACGATATTGAAATGAGATTCAAAGCTTAGTTTTTGGAATCCACTGGCTTCATATTATTTTGTTGGTATTTTCGTAAACAAAGGAAGGTTGAAGACTACACGATTTATACATTTCAAAGATATTAGTCTTGCTTTGTAGAACCTTCGCACAATTTTCATATATTTTCATTCTATTGCGGAAATAGACCGCATATTTGAGATTCGTAACATAATACTCGAAGGGCTGGCAAGATTTCCTAGTAATAGATTTAATATCTAAACACTATTACTATAACGACAAACATTTATAAGCAATAAACTCGAAACCTACTGGATACATTTAAAAAGTTATTTCAACGTTACATTATACCAGCGACAGGACACGTCGTTAGTGAATAAATAATATTATAATTTATATTGAAGTTAAGTACTGTAGTAGTAGATTCTTGGCTTTTTCATTCGACATATGTGTGAAAAAGTTTATTTGATTAGACATTTTCCTATTAGGGAACATTTTAACCTCTGTATGTATGTAGTCCACATTACAAATGAATTGTAGAAATTGTATTTAACTAAATTAAAAAGTGAGACAAGAATCTCCTCCGACTTAAGTTGTGCCTAAAAATAATACAGAATAGGGAAAAACCAAATAGCATAAGTGCAAACCCCAGTAATACAACATCACTCAATGTACATTACAATTTTACGTAGACCACGCGGACGTCGTGATGAAGTTATTAAGTACCTACTGCACGTCCGCGAAATAAAAATCGATACAAATTTGAGTTTGTTTGGTCAGTATTTGAAAATTAGTTTATTCCAGTCTATAGCATATTCCTCTTCCGTTTAAAGCAATTTTACTCGGGGCACGTTTTTACGTTGTCGACGTGATTAATTAAATCTGTGAGATTTAGTTTTAAGCGACGGAAATATATGTGCATGTACGTGAGTATGTACGTGATTTACTGCGAAAATTATAAACTGACTAAATAATAATTTGAAGCTACTTGTATTTAGATATTTGGAATAGATTCAGGTGAAACAACACAACTTTGTTTGTTCTGATATCATTTTCTTTTCAATTGTTTGTTAGTATTAAAAATATATAAGTTTTTTACTTACGGGCAAGAGCCATTATTCTTAAGTCACGAGTGATACACACATAATATATATTATGAGCAGATAAACTTAATTCAGTGAAGGTGGTAACAAACTACTGTAGTTGAAGTCTAGTTAGTCAGTTGTAGTGCATAGTTCGCGCGAGCTAACAGTAAAATACTAAATAACTACCAAAATACATAATACGGTGAAATTTTCCTAACTAATAAAATACACATATTTCCCAAAGTTATGACGTGCATCTCTTGAAGTTTTGACAATGCACCCATGTCTAAATCTAAAATAACATTTTAGTTTTGTACTAGAATAGTTTATTAAATATTAAAGAGACTCATAGGAGAAGTAGCGTTGCTATTCAATGAATACAGGATAAACGTGCATTGCATGTATGTCTCGATTTTATTTTGCAGTTCTGAAGTTTATTCAATTTTATATGCTTCTTCATTCAAAACCCTTTTAGGGTTTACTCCTACGACGTCTTTTACTTCGGCTAAGGATATTGAACTCACAAGATCAGCCGAGAATAGTGTCTGTAAATTTATGAAATGTATGGGTTTCATTTTAAGATGTTTTGAACATTATATAAAAATGATAATATATATTTTATTTATATTCAGCAATAACGTTAGTTTAATATCCATTAAAGAATCGACATTGGTAGTCTGTCTTATGTTCCTTCTAACTTTATTATAATGCTCTTACAGAAATTGGCAATACAATTTCAAATTAAGAAAAGCCATATAATTTATGATTCTAAAATTGCATTATTTATGGTGCAGAATATTGAAGCTATTGCCTTATTGAAAATGAAATGCATCATAGTAACTAATGCAAGCAAATTATTCATGTACTTACTTCGTCGTTACGTACATGTACGTAACGTCGATAAAGCGACGAAGCATCGTGCTCATAAATAACAGTAGTTAAAAATACCAAAAATATATAAATAGTTATAAAGTACATATCTCATATGTGAAATATTTTTTCTTTTGATGATGAAATCAATTAATTCCGTTGACGTAATTAAAATCAGATCTAAAACGCAACTTTTTTAAGTCAAATGTAACTTGTAACGAGAAATATTAAAGGAGTTATAGATCAATATTACGTAGGCAAAGATCTCATACGCGTAGATTTTTTATTTTGTTATTATTATTTTAACGCCAGGGAGGCGATCTTTAACGCAAGTCAACTTCAATCGAAAAGTAAAACAGTACTCGTCGTTAGAAACTTCGAACAAAGACTCATCTGAAATTGTTGTCAACCGATACCTACAATTTCAATAACTATAATAGCATCAATGTCACGCCGTTTTCTTAAATAGCTCATCATTAAATTGCTATAATTTACAGATTGCCTCATTAATCATAATTTGTATTGTATTGTAAAATACTTATTTAATTCTGAAACAATTAATAATTAGCAAACGACTTACGATTTATAACAGCCTTCGTCTATTCAGTCTTGCCAATGCCGAGTTTAGGTGTACTACTAACAATCGACAGTCTGAACTGGTGTCGTTTTAAGTGTATTCGAGTGCTTGTTAGATTAAGAGGATTTACCGATTGAACAATTATTTTTCAAAATGTGGAAATTATTGAACGGCAGCAGATGTTTTGTGCCACGGTACGTTTTTTTTTTATTTTTATACATCGCTGTTTTGATTTTGCTCAACTGAATTTTAAAAGGATTGCAATTTAGTGTGTGTTTGCGTTAGTACAAGATTTGTTGAATATTTTCACAGTAATAGTAAAATTTATTTGGAATAGGGTTTTGCAACCGACCAACCGATAAATGAATTACTCTCTGAATATTACCTAAATGATGTTTTCAATATAATTTTTTTTTTATTATTCTTATGTTGATATCATACTAATGAAAATAACATTGTCAAGACATGAATAAAGCTTGCGAACGAATGACAGTCGTTATGAAAATTAATAATACGTACGAAGGAATGTGGATAACATCTTTAAATGTGACGTTAATCCACCGTTATAAAACATACAGATCCTTAACACGCCAATACAGCAGTACTGCGATCTCAACATCGGAGTATAAACGGGAAATGCAAAAATTTGAAGGTGTATACCCCAGCATTATTGATACCCTTAAGAAGAATCCAGCCTTGGCTAAAAACCCAGAGTCCATGGACTGGTTAAAAACGGTAATATTATTATATTTATTAAAAAAAATACATTTTAATTATTGCAATGTCCATTGTTATGATAATAAACATGCTTAAAATTCATCGTCTAAGATTATGTAATAAGATGATAGGGAATTGCAGAATTGCAGTTTAAATGTACCTTACATTTAAACTGCAATTATCTCGGTGGTTCATATAATTAAACCTGGTGTTGCTAAAAAAACATCTTTAAATATTAACCATCTTTTTTCAGATTTTCGAATATAACCTTAAAGGAGGCAAAAAAGTTAGAGCGATGACGACATTATCAGCATACAAAACATTACAGAGACCAGCCGACATCACCGACGAATCTCTACGTTTGGTACAGGTTTTAGGCTGGTGCGTCGAAATGGTAAGTCATTATTAATTTCTTATTTAAAAAATTTATTCTACCTTTGTAGAAAAAACTACATTAATAATAGAAAAAAAATATTCTATGGTTGTAGAAAAAACGACCCTAACAATAGAAATAACTAAAAATTTTGACTATAGCTAACTTCAGGGTGTCGGTTTTTTGTGACGGTGTGCGCGTGCATCGTAAAAATTTACTCTCATCCGCGCATACGTATCTAATGCGCCAAAAGAAGTATAAATTAAAAAATGAAAATTGTGTCAACGACCACCGACCACTACACGTGATTCAATGTATTTTGGAAAAGAAAGATAGGACATGCATGCATCACATTTGATTTGCTTGCTTAGAGTAGCCCAGCCCCGAAATAGCGTAAAGTTTATTCTTATTGCAGATTTTTCTATGGAACAGAAGTGTTTGTAGGAAATTTATCTTTGTTTTTTATAAAAACTAGATTTCTCGGTGTGGAATGCGTGGCCCAAGCATAAGCTAAACTAATTGTAAATACATTTTTTTCAAAAATACTTCTCAAATGTTAAAACAATTTGTAATTTATATATATCACAGAGTTCATTCCCACAATAGTATTATTTCATTTTTATTTAGTATTACCTCACAATTATTTATTTATATAAAGTAGATCCAATAAGGGCACACATAAGAACTATATTTTTCTTTGGTATGAAGCTTGGAACGAAAATTTGTGTGCGTACAAGAGATACATAAACAGAAATGCACATAACTTGGTGTTTAGGTACAGGCATACTTCCTGATGGCGGACGATATTTTGGATCGATCTTCGACACGGAGAGGTCAACCATGTTGGTATTTAATACCGAAAGTTGGGACTCAAGCCGTGAATGATTGCAGCCTTCTTTTGGGTGCAGTGTACGAAATCTTGAAGGAGTACTGTGGAAAATTGCCAGTGTATAACAGTATAGTACATTTAATTAACGAAGTAAGTAATACATATAAAGATGTTAAGAATTGTTACTTTTTTCTTAATGATTGCAAAAATTGTAAAGTTAAATGTATTCCGAATCGTGAGTAAAGGCCAAACGTTTAAATTAACCCTTTTACGAAACGTACAAGATTTCATGAAAAGCAAAACCATTGAATCTAATTTCGTATACATATATAAGTTTATAAGAAATTTCGAAATCAAGATGAAAATTCTTAGTGCGACCTTTTAATAAGGAAACGTAAACATTTCTATGCAAAAATAACTTCTGTATAAGTCTATACATGTAACATTTCCAGCACTTTAAATACAATAATTTCATATACGTGAGCACGATTTTGCGATCATATCGGGGTTACGTAGGTAGCAATACTGAAAATATTTTTCACTTGTCGGTTTTATTGTTATGGTGATAAATACCAAATTCAGATATTGTCGTATTTAAAAATAGTCTTGAACATGACTTTGTTTCCTTTTAGTCCATATTCTACACATCCATCGGACAAAACCTCGACTACACAATGGCTCGTCGCAATGACTACACACTGTATACTCTGGAGCGATATACGAACATAGTGACGTATAAAACAGCATACTACACTTTCAAGTTACCGGTATTCCTAGGATTGTACCTAGCCTCCGATGTGCCTCAGCATTCGCATAAAACGTCTGAACAAATCTGTTTGGCTTTAGGATTCCTATTTCAAATGCAAGTAAGTATTGAAATACCTGACTCCATGGGAATGATATCTTTTTGTAGAAACATCTCTTAACATTATTTAAGTGATGCACTGCGATTATAAGTTTTTGTGACTCATGTTATATTTTAAGATCTTAGAAGGCACATCATTTATTGTATTTGATGCAAACCTCGACTAAATTAAGGTGTATTAAAATAGATTATTTGATGAGTGTGTGACGTGTTGTGAGTTTATAATTTTCTTGATACTTGAAATCAACACCATCGAGCATAACCAATTGAAAACAAGGTTTGCGCTGCCCTGCGATGCTGTAACTCACTTTTCGAACTCACACAGCGGAATGCCAAATCCTAAAATGACTGCTTTACGACTGATTTGAGTGCGACCGCCGCTGCGAAAACCACTGTGTGAGTTCAAATAGTGAGTTACAGAATCGCAGGGCTGCTCGGGCAGACGAGTTGAATGATGTAGTATCACTCTGTATAACAAATTTCATTTTGTTAATACCTTCATTCTCACAGGACGACTATATCGACTGCTTTGCTTCTGAAGAGGCAACGGGCAAGTTGGGCTCCGACATTCAAGAGGGTAAATGTACATGGTTAGCCGTGCAAGCTCTTAAGAAATCAACTCCCGCGCAGCGTGTTACCTTCTTAGCGAACTATGGAAGGCACGAGAAGGATCAAGTCGTGGCCATCAAGATGCTTTACAAAGAGCTCGACTTGCCTGCGCTTTATTATCAAGAGGTGGCAAAGTGCAAGAAGACTATCCTAGATATCTCTCAACAACTCGATATTCGAACCAATGCATTATTTGAAAATCTACTGGGTGATGTATTAAAGCACCACCAAAATCGTCCCCAGTCATCCTAAGTATTACTAATCACATCATCATGCATAGTTTAGAGTACATAATAAATCATTGTTTACTAATTTGGTTCTTAATTTTACTTCTCTTTTGTTGCTCGTTCAATATTATTTTATTTCAAGTTATAAAAACCTGTTCTTATCACTACACTTTATATCCAGTTTAACTGTAAAGTAATCGGTTACTTGTGAATTACATCGTTGATACAATCAGTATTGACTACATTCTGAGTTCATTGTTGTTGTTGGATTTATATTGAAACTAGTTCGTCTACCGCCCTTTGTCTAGTACAGCTGAGTGCTCACCGGCTCCACGAACGAGGTAATATTTGAAATTGTGCGGTACCCTGAATCAAATACAAAAACACACATTGAGATTCTAATATACAACCTGCTGTGATCATCATACAATTACCATAATTATTAATTACCCAAGCACATATACTTGTTTTGGAGGTCAAAACTTTTGCGCTCCTAATTAGCTCTGTTTCTTCGAACTGAAGTAGCTATTGTGTGCTTCCTACGACAGTTTAGAAACTTAATCGCCGATAGACGTCTCTATAAAGAGATAATTCTTTAATATGAAAAACTAGAGCGCATTACTCAAATATTAACTAGCTTAACTGAAATTATTAACTTAGCTCCTATTTTCTGAGCCAGTTTATTAATCAGTTATCTGTTTTCTTCAGCACAATATCATCATTTTCGTGTTAATACAATATATCTTATACTATATTTGATCACGTTCACAAAGTATCTCATCAAAAATCGTATCTATGTCTCTTAGTGGCCAGCTCTTCACTTAATACTGACAGAAGAGTAGGCAATTAAAGTATTACATTGTATTAATTGCAGAAAGTCACAGATCGTGCAGATTGGCGCAACTAAATTGCAGTGAGGGACTTAATTTGCAAAATAAATATGGTTAATGGGCCTCAAAGAATCTGTCCCGCTTTGTTTTATTTTAACAGGCCTTACAATACGACTTCAGCTTAAAATAAGGAATAATATAATAATAAATGCACTAAACGGTATTAATAATTATTATTAAAGCTTTAACGTTCTCACAGTGATGTGAAATGGCTTTGTTTATGTAAATTGAAAAAGTAGCTATAAAAAACTATATAAAAAAGTGCGATGGTTCAAATATTTACTAATGTTGTGATTTCACTGATTGTGTTTCTTCGTCCTCCAAACCTAAAAAGTCATATTTCAGAATATGTACGTAAATAAACAGTGTAAGTCCAAACAAATGTGTGAAAATAATTGAAACCACAGACCGAATGCTGATCGATTTGATGTATTTTAATTAAAAACATGGAGATTGCGTTGTTTAGTACTAATTTAGTAGATAGGCTTACCACAATTACATTTCCGCTAATTTAACGCATCGTGCGCGTCGTATATCATATAATTTGTACCGATCATGAGTATTGAAAAAAGAAAAAGAGACAAAATATAGTGAAATTCATCTATAATAATTTAAAATAACATATCATAGCATCCTTCAATCTTTCCGAGTCGGTTAAGATTATGTTGAGAGGCTTTCGTATTTCATATATGATAGTTGTGTTTTCTCTATATATACGATCCATAATACTCATTACTCTTCACAATCTTTTTCCTTGAAACATATATAAAAGCAATCTTAAAAAAAAAGATTTGATTTATGTAAAATTGTTCTGGTACAAGTGAAAACCGATAAAGAAGTTTTAAAATCAGAATTCTATATCTCTCAGAGGCTGCCAGTATGTTTATTCGTTTCATTTTTTACATTTAAGGAATTAGTTTACTAATTATATTCTTTAGAAACGAGAAAAAATTAACAAATAAATATCAAAAATGATCATGCAGGCGTTTGTAAGCAGAGACTTCAGACGAAGAACCGAAGCCTTTTAAATGTTTAAGCGTTGTGAAGTTTTTCTCTATTTATAGAATCAAATTAAACGTCATTTTACGATCACAAATGAAACCATACGTGTATTTTATTGAATAGTGCTAGCTTCAGAATTATGAATGAATGAATTTTTTTATTGGAATATATGCTCTGATTAAAATTATATAAATAATTAAAGCGTGTTAGAAAAAAATAAAATACCCCAAAAAATACAGCGAAGTAAAATTTCACTGCTCTAAATAGCAGTAATTAAACTTTGAAAAAGTGAAAAGTACTTAATTAACAACTCTGAACGTTGGAAAAACTTAAATAGCATTCGTTCATTTGCATCAGATAACACAAATTTTGGGCGAACAAATTAATAATCCTTTTTACCGATGAAATGATTTGAATTTCGAAAATTGTTTTTAAGAGATGGTTTCTTTCCTTAAACCTTATGCACTAAGTAATATACTTTTTACAAGCCTTAGGTAATATTGGTTCATTGTAGTTGATATATGCAATAATTAGGCATATCGATTCATATAGATAAAACGATACGTGAGTTTAGCAGCATGTCTATCGGTTGTTAAATATTTTCTTACGCTTCACAACAGCGAATGTATAACCCGTTCTCCAGGATATTTTTCGTCTAGTCATGAATAGTTTTTCTTTATAAGCAAATATATTAGGTTATAAGCCAAAATAAATATTAAACCAGTAAACGAACCATCCTATGCTAGACAGACTGTTCGTCTTCAAGTGAGCACTACAACATTTTTTTCAGAGTTCGAAGTGGTTAAATGGCGTATATTTTACTAGTTCTTCTTTCAAAAGTCAAATTATTATAAAAACCTACACCTGCCTATAATACAGTCATTGCACAATATATTAATCAGTCTGACTATTGAATTGGCATGATGAGTAATGTCGCTTTGCCAGCCCTTTGTCATTTCAGATTCCAAAAGTGTATCAGACGGAAGTAATATGTCATAAACGAAACCTATGTGCAATATACTGTTAATACAGTACTTTATCGTGCATTTTACATTATGCATATGAATCGGAGAGATCAAAGGAACATGAATTAATTTCGGTTCGCTGTTGGCCGCCGGCGACGCTTGCAGGTAAATTTACTGTTTGCGATGCACTCATGCAAAGAGTTTTTTGAAGGGTCAAAAGTCAAACACAGACATTAATCATTTCCCTGCTATGGCGACGTGTATTTTAATTAATAATTGCTTTTTGACTCGTTAGAGGCCATTTTGGATACACGGAAAGACAAGAGTAATTACAATCTACACAACGTTGATTGATGTCCCGAAACCGTGTAATGGGGAATAAGGTGGACTCATTTTTGTCATCAATGATCGTTTAGGCACAAATTGAATATGCAAATGTTAACTATATATATACCAATGTATCTATAACATAACTAACATTGCCAGAGAAAAGCCAATGAACTATATACATAATATACGTTTTCCAGTCTCCGATCTCTCATTAAAGATTTGGTTTCGCCGTATTTTGTACAGAGGACCCAAAATCAACATTTTGTAGTTTTGGAAACTGTAAGATTTGGTCAGAGGTAGTTCATAGAATAAATTGTTTCTAAAAGCAATTTTATTTGACTAGGAATAATAAAACATGCAAGTCTCGCAGTGTGCTCGTACCTACGAATAACAAGCCTTTGGCCATACGTTTGTGTCAACACCAATATTCGGTTGAAACATTTCATCTCGGAACCAATATTTTTATAAGTCTTTCCATATTTGATGTCATGTCTCATCAATTCTTTCGTAACATTATAAATTAGAAGTATTTGTTATGTTTTTTATATTTAAACCTTTGGTCCTTTCCCTTGTCGAGTTCGTATTTATGAGAGACGGGAGACAAGCGGGACATGGACTACAACGACCTTTAAGGTACGCTCTTTTCTTGAAAGATGTAAAGTCGTGTCGGTACAGGAAGACCTTGACTGGTTCGACAAAGTAGTTTGCTTTGTCTTCCAATGACAAACGTTAACGTGATAGAATTTCGCATTTTGCCTCCATCTTCGATGATGAAAATCACTTGCATTCTAATAGGTTGTCGGAGTACTTTTCATTGTTTTAAAGATTCGCAGATTTGGTAGGAGAGGTAGGAGGTAGATTAGAGACATATATGTCATATGATACATGATACAGAAATACATAACTATTATTAAGACACATTGTATATTTTGACGTCAGGTCCAGCGCTGAGACATTTGTCAGGTCCCGTGTTATTTAATGGGCTCTCGTTGTATATCCGGTACAATCTCGTGCGTAAATCATTTTAAGATGCCACCTCTGTCAGTGAAAAGTGAACGCTACGATGGCAAATGCACGAGATCTCAATGGAATTTTCTAACTTGTTTTGGTACTTTTACTTCCTTTAAAAATGTAATAGCGAGATTAGATTTGCGATGGTTATGGAGTCGACTACCTTTGATTTTGAATTAGAAAATCATCCTAATCACCTTAATGGGAAAAATGTAAAACACTTCGACATCCTAAATACATTATGCTTAGCGGATGAAAACACATTGTTAGCGCGATTCAGGGACATCCTACTGATTTTTAGCATCATACATACGTTTTTTCTTTATAGAACGAAAGCGCATTTTCTTTTAAAAATGGTTGAAGTTTAAGGCTTGTTGGTTATATGGGAACCGATTACAATAATCACACGAATAAAGTATAAGTAAAGATATCAATATCTCGCTATACAATTACATAATTAAGTTCTGAATTCAGAATTGCCAAAGTAGTTTTAAGCTTTTTTACTGTCATTATATTTCAAATGTAATTTATGGTGGTTTACAATGGTACATAGGTACAAATAAATATTTCAAATTGAACATACATAATAAACGTATTTGGGGAACAGCCATTAATCAACCTTATAAAACGTGTAACTTGATTTATTTCATTTGCTTTAATAAAATACCGACATGTGATCAGCCCCGTTAATGGCATGTTCCATTAATTCTAAGTCGATTAAGCCACGTTTATCAATCATTGATAGGCAGATAATGTTAAACACGGTTATTCTCTCAACAATTATGGTACTTCATTGGTCACAAATCATAGTAAATTTCAGATAATCA